GCGTAGTAAGTAGAAGCTCTTAAGAGGGCTAAAAATTAAGTGAGATTATAAGTAAGTAAGAGACCTAAATATAAAATCTACTTTAATCTTACTATATAGCTATAAGAGGTATATTAATAATATCTTAAGAAGTAGAAGGATAAGTTATAGTAGTAAAAATTAAAGTAGATTATTATATAGTTAATTAATTTAGTATTTTATAGTACTTAATAGTAGTTACCTTTAATAAGTAAATATTTAGCTTATTTAGTACCTTCTAACCCTCTTAATATTAATATTAACTTTAACTTTATTACCCCTCTTAACCTTACTTTAATATTAACCTCTATAACTTTCTTCCTCACTCTATAGGTATAAAAACCTTACTATTAAGATTAACCTAACTAATATTATTACTCTATAAGAATAATAGTTTATTATCCTTCTTTTATAAGCTATTAAATACTACTACCTTTATTATTACTATTAAGAAGAAGTTTAAAATATTAATAACTCCTTCTAACTTAAAGTTAACTTTAAGTGAGGTCTAATATATATTAATTACTTTCTAAATATTATTAGAGCTAATAGGGTATTAATAGCACCTATTAGTAAAAATCTACTTTATATATTTATTTATATAGTCTGCTATTAATATATAACTATCTTTCCTCTTCCTTATTAGTAGTATAGCTATAATGTTTTCTAAAATTAGCTAAATATTAATATTACTATTTACTACTTTAATCTTATCTAAATCCTATTATTAACTTATCTGCTTATAGCTATAATTATTTAATGTTATAATAAGTATTTATATAGTAATAAGTAGTATTATACTTAATACTATAGTAGCTTATAAGAAGGGTAAGTATACTACTACTTTAGTTATTAATACTCCTACTAACTAGTTTATAAGCTTACTTACCTCCTTATATATAGTAGGTTAGTAAAAGAGTATATCTCTTACTTCTATAATATTCTTATTAGTTACTAACTCTAATAGCTAGATTAACTCTAAAAATATCTCTATACTAAGTAAACTATATTACTTTACTTATTAATAGCTTAAGTATATAATATATTAGTTATACTAACACTCTTAGGTTATTAAGATTTTATCTAATTTATTATTATACTTAACGCTAGAAAGTCTTATTAACGCTTTAACTTTTTTAAATAAAGTATAAATAGCTCTATATTTACTAATAAGAGCTTTAATAGAGAAGAGGTCTCTTAGGAACTTTATTACTAAAATAAGTAAAATAATACTTATTAGCTTCTCTAGTATTACTATCTTTATAATAATACTACTTTATTAATACTTAAGAGTAAAGTGTAAAAACCTATTATAAAAAGCTAGTATTTAATATATCTTTTTACTTATTTAATTTTATTAAGTTAACTAACTAAAGCTAAATTAGCTAAATATTAATAGAGATAAAAGTTTATTAATAGGAGGTCCCTTATCCTCTAAATTAAGAGGGGAAAACTTAGCTACTTAGATCTTATTAAGCATTATCTCCTATATACTAAGGGGGCTCTTATTATCGTTAAAATACTTAAAATTATAGTTTATTTTATAGATTACTCTAATATATAAAAATATATTTAAAAAATATAGGATCTAAGTATTTAATATTAAAATTAGTAAATTTAGGTAGCTAGAGCTATATATTAGTAATTCTATATTTACTTAAGTATAAGGGGTTAATAAGATATTTATTATTTACAGTCACTTTGATATTTTTAGTTAATATTAACTTAGTAGCAGTATATACGCTATATCTATGCTTCTGAAGTAGAGCCCTCAAGGGGTCAAAAAATATGAGAATGTGGCAGATTAGGGCCTTATGCCGCACGTAGTAATTCTCGGTATGGAGCGTCCCACAATTTTGGATGCGCCGACCTTATTACCGCTAATGGCTCGGACGAGCGGCTGTGCATTTGATGCGCAACTGCCAGCTTGTATTTGAATTTTTAAAAACAAGGTTGCAAGGCCACCAGTATGTCAAGAACTTGCTCATGGGCTCCCCACATATTCCCAAAAAAACGTCCGAAATTCCCAAGAAACGTCCGGCAATCTGGCAGTTTGACGCCTAGCATGTCTTTTGCCAACACGGCAGTAACGGCAGTCTGAGTTTAGCGGTCCGGCCAAAAGGCAATGATCCCAATTAAGTGACTCTGGGTAGATTCTTGACCCACATAAGTGTGCGGTTGCTTCAATGTTCTGATGCGGAACATACCGTTAAGCCATCATACGATGTCATTCTAGTCGAGCTCCAGTCGGAACAAGCCATGAGGTGGAATACGGATATCGTGATCAGACTAGAGAGTAAGTAGGTTTAGAGGAACTTCGTCCCGAGTTGACTCTCACTTAGAGTCATCATCCGAGCTACCAAAAGGCCAGAGTAGGCAGGTGGTAGCTTTACAAGTAGAGTTTACGGAGTAGTCCACTAGCATAGAGTTAAGTCAGCAATTCGGATAAGTTGCCTTGTGTTTATCCCGTAATGTGGCGGTTAGGGATTAGGAGTTCCGGTAGCCGGCCCCTAAGCCGTAAGTCAGCCTGGAGATGTTTTAGGGGGTGGCTGTTTAATCCGGAACAGGAGTTGATGGAGCTCGGGCACGGCACCTCCGGAAAGGGGAAGTTAAGCATGTTCATCCGACGTTAAGGTCGTCCCGTCAGCATTATGCCGAATTCGCTTGCGGCTCTGTCGCCAGTGACATCCCATCTCAACTTAACTTCCTACCTATCATCTATGATGACATGAATCGCAAGTCGAATCGGTTGTGGACCTGCCCGAAATTTGGATCTGCGCCTTTGGAAGGAAGATGCCGATGGCTGGAGTGGGGCCATTCCGAGTCCCGAACCAACATGGCGCGGTCTTCCTCGTCGCCTTTCGATCACCTGGTGTTGAATTATCACCTCTTCAAGTTGTTTTGAAACCTTTGATCAGTTTAATTTCAACCAGCCTATTCAACAATTAGATGAACACATTAAAAGAAAATGCTGTGTTCACTGACTATTTTCCTGTCAAGCAACATATGAAACTGGAAACCCCTATGTTCCGCCTCTGCGCTCCCCGCAAACCACTAAAAAGGTCGGACGATTCATGCGCTAACCCACAACTCCACAACTTCTGTTATTTTAGGCTTCCCGATAGACATCAACCTAGTCTCGGCACGGGAATGTGGGAGAATCTACCCGAAGGGCCGAAGGCGATGGGCATTTTTACACATCAGTCAACAATCATCTGAGTTGTCAAACTAGCACTACATGCAACCTCGATCGGGCCGCGATGACGAATCAGAGGTTGTCGGTTCCTGGACAGTAATCTAATTAGCGTCCTTTACAACAAAGCTTGGCACTACATTGATATGCATATTATTCCGTAGTCCATAGTGAGCCCACAACCTTTGGCTGCAAATGCGGGGATCGTGGGCTAGCACAGCCCTGCCGGGCTCCTCGCGGGCTGTGTTCCGGGTCTGTGTGTCAGTGTTCCATCCGGAGATGATTTCCCAAAAGTCATCGTCCCCGTAGATGCTCAGGTTTACAGCACGGGTAAGGTTGGCGATGTGGGCAACGGCATAAGGTGGGAGGAGAGAACAACGTCACAAGAAGAGAGACCATATGGAGGTCAAGTTTCTATAAAGCAGGCGAAGATTCTCCTCCTTTAGACGATTTCTTTCCTCATCAACTCAAACAACTCAGTCAACAGTCACTCATTCGCTACCAACTCACAAACCACCACACTCTTTCACAACCAACAACCACTCTTTTACCACATTCAAAATGAAGTCTGCCGTTATCTTCTCCGCCGTCGCCCTCTTCGGCGCCGTCTTCGCCGCTCCCCTCGAGTCTTCCAACGAGGCTTCCAACCTCTTCGCTCGCGTAAGTTACACACAGTCTCGATTTCACATCGTCCAGATTTGCTGACAAGTCTGCCACAACAGAAGCTCTGCGTCTCTGAGGATGGCATTGCCTGCTACTACGACAACAACCAGTGCTACTGGCACGACTGCTCTGACTGCAGCTGCGAGGACGTCTACAACGGCGCCAAGCTGATCCGCCGCGACTGCACCGACGCCAAGGACGCCGCCACCTGCCCCAACGTCCCCGACCCCAAGGCTGCGACTCCCGCTCCCAACCCCAACCCCCCCAAGGCTTAAGACAATGACTCCGGCTTAATGGACTCTGTTTTGGGGACGTTCGACTAGGTGGAAACGGGACTTTTCGTTTTGTCTGATAATCAATAATACCTGAATTGAAAAGATTCTCGCAAATCCTCATGGAAGCTCTCATCCCTGCTTTTGGTGCCAATGGTCTGTGATCAGGCGGCGCTGACCCAATGTGAAGTCTTGTACTCCTAATTATAAAGGAGACCGCCTAATTTTCCTATGTCTGCGTGGCTACATTACCTGTGTAATTAGTTAATTATTTCTACTGAAGACGGTAGCAGAAGGAGTGATAATATGATAACGACGGCGACGACGATAATAGCAGCGACAACAACAGCAAGGTAGAGCACGTTACTACAGGAAAATTAGGCGCTTTAGCACAGGAAAAATAGGCTATCTCTTAGAAAATGGGGTAGCTGCCGGGGCATCTTGCCGACCTCTAAGACTTTTTACCGAAATGACAGATGCGATTGGTACGATCTTATATAGCTTGTCTTTCGAGTTCCGCCAGCCTTGTTGGTACACACACTCTAGCAGAGAGGGGTGATGATGAGCAGTGAGTTGGGCGTGGCAGGCGTTCCGGTTGAACAATCACAGTTGGAGTCAAAAGTCCCAACCAGATTAGGTAGAGAGGACCTGTTGCCTAGCTGTGCCGCTCGCAACTGGGACTAGCGTCGTCGACACAGCATTGCAATCTAAAAAATCACAAATCGGATTAGGCAGTCAGTGCTAATCGAGTCCGAGCTCCGCTATTTGAACTGTCTACTTAAGCTTCATTGCTCCGGCGCCTTTATTTCAACCACAGACGCTTTGCAGACTATATCCCAGCATATCAACCGGCCATGGCCAGATTGATTCAACTCCCCGCAGAGCTGCTGCAGAAGATTCTCTCGAATTTCCTAAACATCAACCACCATGTCGCTTACTTGGTCCTTCCCCTGTTCGAGCCGAACGCTGCCGACTTGGCGACTTTGAAAGCGGCTTCACAAACGTGTCGGGTCCTTCGCGACGCCGCTGAACCGCTCATCTGGAGACACCTCTGCCTGACGCAGCCCCGGCGTCAGGGCCACCCGACGACGCGGCAGCTGATCGGCCTCATCCGGCTCTGGCACAATCGACCCGAGCTCGCAGGCCACGTCCACACGCTCTACTTCTCCGGCGATGACCTGCCCTTCGGCCCTCAAGTGATCGACGAGGACGACATCGCGTTTGTGTCGCAGGTTCTGCAGGAATTCGGCTTCCAACTGTCGCATCCATGGTTTCAAGCTCCAGGGGATGTCTCCGACCTACAGCCGTGGCACACAGCGTTCAACAACCTCAGCTTCATCACGGCGCTGATAGTCCTCATGGCCCGGAATGTCAGAGCGCTCGACCTCTTCGTCGGCGGTGACTTCTTCAAATGCATGCCCAGCCCAGGAGAGACGTCCGCCCGCCTGGAGCTCTTGGACCGTTTCCGGTGCCACTCGACCACCGGCGAGTCCATGGCCCGCATGAACCCGCTGCTCCGGCTTGCCCCCAACCTCAAGAAGCTCCAAGTCTGGCGTGCTCGCCTCGGTCATGACGAAGACTTAGACTGGAGTGGGTTCACGTCGCTGGAGCTCACGGACGCCGACGTGAGTGAAGCGGCGATCGCCAACGTCGTCAGGTCCTGTCGTGGGTTGCGGGAGTTCACATTCTCGCCGGACACAGGCCACGCCCCGAACGAAACCATGGCGGCCCTTTTGATGCACGCTGGTACCCTTCGAAAGCTCGACATAAACTTCGGGGCCGAGGGGCAAGAAGATGGCCTTTGCGTTGGCTCGGTTGCAGCCTTCACCAGCCTCGAGGAACTCGGGATCTCAGCGGCGGAGATGGGGTGGGATGAAGAATGCACCCTGCACATGTTACCAACAAGTCTGAGGTCCCTCGAAATTCACGGCTACCCTAGAGATGACGAATGCCGCCAAGAGATTGAGTGGCTGGCGGGCGCAGTTGAAGCGGGGACCTATCCCAACCTCAAAGAGGTCTGGTTATCGGGCTGGGAGTGCGATACCGATCATCCGGGGCCGTGTTGGGGCACTTATGTCGACGAGAATAATCCGTTTAGAGAGGGCGTCGACCAGCACGGTTCCGACTGGGAGTACGATAGTGACGAAGAGGAGGACGGATGCGATGGCGGGAGGACGGTTACTGAGCTTCGAGCGATTCTCCTGGAGGCTGGTGTTTCCTGCAAAATAGTGTAGCCGTGAGAAGATACGGACTCTAAGTTTTCATTCCTAGTTTCAAATTTGGCATATCGTGCAGCTGTTTGTATGGCGGTTCTCATGTGTTGTGAGAAAAATGGCATGCAGTTTTGTCTGGTGATGTGCGTTGATTAAGACCTTGGGAAGGCGGCAAAGCCAGGGCTCATTGAAATTATCATTCGGTGCTGGGGCTTTGATTCATTGACGTGTTGAACATAACAGTATTCCTGGTAAAGGCTTGGTGATTCAGCCGTCGCAACTCAAAGAGCCCTCGCAATTGGCGCCAAGAACAAGTAGGGAAACAAACAAATTGGTTCGAGAATTCAAATATTGGCGGTTGCCACTTTCGTCAAGGACATTGAATCTCACTGCGATTTATTTCAATGAAGACAGTCGATTCAAGAGAATCCCCCAAGATCCGCAAGAGACATCCCTCGTACTTGAACCTCCCAGACAACCGTGTTTCTCAATCATAGCGTTGGAGTACAAGCTGTTGACATGTTTGACCCGAACGACGCAGGTGTTGAAGATGCTCAAATAGAAGCAAAAAGTTCGACAAACTTGTTGGGAGACTTACCGCACGAGCTGATTACGGGAATCTTGAGCGCAGCGGACGACGCTACCACCATCAGCCGCCTGGCTCGCACATGTCGCGGCCTAGCACGCATCGCCAACTGCGCTCTCTACCGTACTTCATTCGGAGGTGCAGATCCAATGAAATGGGCCGTGGAGCGTGACCGTTCGGATACTCTGACGCAGATATTGGCGCTTCGGTCAACACCGAAATGGGCCATCACGCCTCGGGACCTGAGCGCACATCTTGTAGAAGCGTTGAGAGCTGGCAGCTTCAGGATTGCCGACACCCTCCTCAAAGCAGGTGCGGAGATCATCTACAGTGCTGGCTCAAGGCCAGAATTACGCAGTGAAGAAGTTGCAATACGGATCAGCGATTCTCACGGGCACCTCGGATCCCTCGCCCTCGCCGCTCGCAGCCGCTACCACCTCGCCTTTTGGTACAGACCCACCAAGCCGTATACGTCGGAAGCTGAGTATTGGAGGTGGAAGAAACGGACGATGATGAAGATCCTGGCGCGAATGAGGATTGATGTTTCACGGAGGCATATGGAATATCCTACACTCTCCTTCGATGGATACCGCAGAGAGCTCGACATCGCGCTCATCGAAGCTGCAAACGCAGATGCCCACTCGATGGAGATGATGGAGTTTCTCCTCGCCGCAGGAGCAAACATCAATGCCGAGATGAACGATCAGTACGTCGGTCAAGTCTGGCGGAACGCTTTGGACGAGGAAGTTCCTAGCTTATTCCGCGCCAAGGTCGAATTTCTCATGGAGCACGGTATCAATACGAACAGAGTGTGGTCTTGGCAGGGGCCTCTGACGCCCGCAGAGTTCTTCCTGAAAAAGCTGCATTGGAGTTGTCTCTTTTCGGCGGACACATCCTTCATCGATCGGGCCCTCTGGATGATGGACTTGTTGGAGGGTCGGAGCTGCTTGGAATGGCCACTTGCTACCTTCGAAGCCTTCAACACATGCGAGATGGCTGCGCGGGGGATAGAGTTGGCTGGACTCGAGATGGGTGCAGGACGTGAGCTGGAGTTGATATTGAATGACACGGAGGAATCTTTGAGGCCGCTAAAGACGGCGTTGAAGCAGCATGTCCGCCGAAAGTTGCTTAAGAAGCCCTTGGTGACTTTGAGGGGGGAAGATGAAGCTTCCGGAATCATTGATGGCCATGCTAGCAGGCTGGATTTTGTTGACAAGGAGAGTCTTCCGGAAGCAATATTGCGGCTGGACGACTTACGCGAGGAATGGCTAGCTGAAAGCTGCTCAGAGATGTGAAAAGTAAGCAAATGTTCGAGCCATTGCGAAGCATGGCTCTGTCATTTGAATGTCGCATGGCCCAGCAGAAGTTGTTTAAATCACATTTCAATCGTTCAACTTTCCCATGCAGTTCTTGAAGCAAGATCAAGACCGTGAAGTAGCTGTATCAACCCCAAACGCAGGCCACGACTCGAGAAGCTCGCACTAGCCTGCCCGAATGAGCCATGTGGATTCCCATTCGCGACACGTCATTGGCGAGGAGGCCATGTGGAAGCAGCCGCAAAGTCGGGATAAAGCCTCCAGGCGCATGAAATACCTCCACATTGCACGCGTGGGATTCATTACTTTTCGAGGGGGGAAACTGGGCGGTGTGTTTGGTTCAACGTGAAGAATCACAGGGAAACCCTGAGGCAGTTTGCACACGCGACTTCAGACTCGCCTGCAGAGTGGTCGACCGGATGTTTGGTTTCTCATAAGCCGTGTGTGCTGTCCATTGCGGGTTGTGTTTGAACAGTGAGGCTCCACAATGACTCGCACGCGATGTTTCCACTACTTGTGTTCCCATTGGCGGGATGATACGCGGAAGGATGCAGTGGCGTCGCGCCGGGCGGGCATGCGCGCTTCACTGCTGCAGGTGAGATTGATGGTTGAGACGAGATGCATGTGGAGGCGTTGTGGTGCAGGACGGGATTATTATATGTATCAAGATCCTGATGGAAGGGAAGGTTGAAGCTATTCCCAAGATTCAGTTCAGGATCGCGGAAAAACAGAATAAAAGTTCGAGGTGGATGAATGTCGGCCGAGTTGTATGACGTAAGGACGCTTTCTCGCCGTCATTGATTGGGCAGCTGCGTCGGGCTGTTCGGGCGAATGACCCCGGACGGCACGGGTGGTGATAAAGGCTGCCGCTGACTGACAGGCGACAGGGGTTCGGTCACAAGGAACCCAGTCATCTCCTCGCGACTTCAACGGGAACGGCATAGCGGGATCCATGGATCTCTCTCCCACGCCGATTACACATCAAATTTCCACACCTGCACCTGCACCTGCACCTGCGCTTCACTGCAAGAGGGAGGGAATGGGACCCAACAAGATCCCGTCCGTCCCGCCAACGCCCGCCTGCCCGCCCACCATGTCAAAGTCCGCAGTCCGCTTCAAGGCCGCCGCCGCCCCCGATCTTTTCCAGAGCGACCTCGCACACCTTGCGCTGCTTGCTGACGCCGGCTGACGGAGGAAATACGACCTTTTGTTTCCCCAAAGAGAAACCTGCCTATCGCACACCGCCGACACAGATCCGACATCACATCTCGATAAAGGACAAACCAAAAAAAAAAGAGCACGATAAAACCACACACACCAAAAAAAAAATATGGCCGATACCGCGACTTCCGACCCCGCCTCCAAGGTGAAATCCCACGCCTCGACTGTCGTCGCCGAACACGGCTACCCGCGCGGCCATCTGGGGCACCTCAACGAGCACGAAGAGGCGCAGCTCGTCGCCTTCAAGAAGCTGGTCGAGGAGAAGGGGCTGTACAAGCCAGGCCCGCCTGCGTCCCACGACGACCAAACACTTCTGTGAGCCGCTTTACACACGTTTTTCCCTCTCTCGATTTTTCTCTCTGCGCCGGATGTCCCGGGACATACCAAAGCTGACTGGTTTCCCCCTCCAATAGGCGATACCTCAGAGCCCGCAGCTGGGTCCCCGCAGACGCCCTCACGCAGTTCAAGGACACGGAGGAGTGGCGCGCCGGCAGCGACATCGACACCCTCTACCACACCATCGAGCTCGACGCCTACGAGCAGAGCCGCCGCCTGTACCCGCAATGGACCGGCCGCCGCGACCGCCGCGGCATCCCGCTGTACCTCTTTGAGATCAAGCACCTCGACACCAAGGCCATCGCCGCCTACGAGAAGTCCGGCAAGGAGACCTTCAGCAAGGCCAAGTGGGACGGCAAGACCCCGCAGGGCCTGCTGCGCCTGTTTGCGCTGTACGAGAACCTCACCCGCTTCAACCAGCCCTTCTCGACGCAGCTGCAGGACCGCGACTTCAACGACACCCCCATCACCCTGAGCACAAACATTGTCGACATCTCGGGCGTCAGCCTGAAGCAGTTCTGGAACCTCAAGAGCCACATGCAGGCCGCCAGCCAGATTGCGACGGCGCACTACCCCGAGACTCTTGACCGTGAGTTTTCACCCTCTTGCTTTTCCCTTAAACCCTCGTGCGCGCGCGCAGTCATTGACGTCACGCAGGCATCTTCATCATCGGCGCGCCCGTCTTCTTCTCCACCGTCTGGGGCTGGGTCAAGCGCTGGTTCGACCCCATCACCGTCTCCAAGATCTTCATCCTCAGCCCACACGAGGTCCTCCCGACGCTCGAGCAGTTCGTCGAGCCGCGCAACATCCCCAAGAAGTACGGCGGCCAGCTCGAGTTCTCCTGGGGCGACCAGCCCACCGTCGACCCCGCGTGGGAGGGCGTCGTGCGCTGGGAGAACGGCCACAAGGCCTTCACGGGCCGCCCCGCCGTCTGGCGCGAGACGGCCGACGGCGCCCGCGTCGAGTGCTTCGGCATCGGCTGCGTCAACGGCAAGGAGCAGGAGGAGCTCATTGCCTCGGTGCCGCGCACGTGGCCGCCGGCCAAGACGAACGGTGTCGCGGTGGAGACGACCACGACCTTGCCGGTTGATGAGAAGGACGGCGCCGTGACGGAGGGCACCCAGACCGAGCCTGTCAAGATTGCCGAGCCCGAGGCCGCGACGACGAATGGCGAGGACGAGCTGTCGAAGCTGTCCATCTCCGAGACCAAGGAGATTATGGAGAAGCACACCAACGGCAGCACGACGGCGCCCGTGGGCCTGGCATAGACGAATTCCGAGTAGAATATAGAAAAGAGGGGGATGCATATGCGGCAGAGGGCGAATGATTTTGGGTGTGGTTTGGGAAACGGTTTTTATCATATATATACCCCCGAGGGTTCGATGGTCCTATTAATTTACATCTGGCTTTGGTCAGTCGTCGGACGACGGAGCAACAACATGGGCTGGAGTTTTAGTTCTGAAATACCAAAAACATTGTTTGATTTCATCTCTAGAAGTGCATGGTATCAAGAAAGACGTCGCGTCATCTCATCTAAAGCCAGAGGAACCCTGAGATCAGATCTTGGTGTGGTCGTATCGTCCCGTCCCGTCATACGTCTGGCAAACCCTCCCCGCGTCCGTGGAACTGGGATGCCCGAAACCTTACCGCCCCCAACGCCTCTATGTACTGTTTATCCTCGCCAATTTAATCTCTATCACTCTCGCCGCCACTCGTTCATGATGCATGAAGACCGATGCTTAACCCGTATACCCCCTCCTCTTCCTCCACTCCGCCACGCCCTTCTCAATCTCCGCCCAACTCGTCCCGTCCCTGACCAAATGCATCGTCACCCCCAAGCTCTCCGTATCCCGATTCCTGCTCTCGTCATCGAAAAACAGCATCTCCGTAAACGGGATCCCCGTCTTGCGGAAAATCGCCTCAAAGTGCCGGATCTTACTACTCGGATAAATCTCCAAACCCCCGTCGAAAAACTCCAGCGCCTTCCTTGCCTTCTCCTTCTTCCCGCTCCCGCCCTCCTCCGCGCTCGGCGGCGGCACGTGCAGCAGCTTCAGCATATCCCGCGCCAGCTCCGGCGCGCTGGTCCTCGACGCCACCGCGAGCTTCACGCCCGCCAGCGGCAGGGTGTACAGGATGCGCGGGACGTCCTGGTAGAAGGCGAAGGACTCGCCGTGGCGGTCCGTCGCGGCGGAGTGCGCGGCGTTGGCCTTGAGCGGGCCCGAGACGTGGGTGTCGACCCAGAAGGGCCAGAGGGTGTAGTCGAGGTCGAAGACGATGAGCTTGGGCAGCGGCAGGTCGTCGGTGAGGATGCGCGGGAGGGAGAGCGAGGCGGTGGTCGAGGTGGAGGGCGTGCCGTTGCCGAGGGTGGATGTGCTGCCTCCTTGCGGGGTTTTGGAGAGCTTTTTAGGCATTGTGTGGAGGGAGCGCCCTCGGTGGGACGTCTTGTTTGTGGGAAGATGCGAGGTGCGTTGGATTGGCGTGGGTGATGTCGTGGACGCAGAATGAGAGTCGGGGTTATCGTCGTTATCGAGGCTGGGTGGGTTGTAGATGCTGACGGGAATTATTGTTTGGAGGGGCAGAGCGATAAATTGCGGCGGGCGGTTTTTTTCGTCACTGCCCGGGGCAGCTAGCGCATTGGCTCCAACGGCGGGGTCCTGCGGGATTACAGCGGTGATTTGACCCCCGGGCCGCGCATCGAAAACTCTCGGCGGGCAGGCCGCACGGGAAGCAAACGAAACAACTAGATCAGACGAAGAACTTGGCGGAATGAACCCCGGGACAAAATATCATTTCGAGACCATTGGCACAGAGACAGTATGAACATTTACAAAGGGAATGGACGGCAAAAGGCAAAAGATATCGACGTTGGCCTGATTCGAACAGACGCTCCCGAAGGAACAAGATTTCTAGTCTTGCGCATTAGACCACTCTGCCACAACGCCAGATGGGTGTCCACTGAAAGGCGGACTTGCTAAGGAGATTGAATTGGTAGACTATGGAGCGCAGTGCTCTCATTCCATCATCATCAGAGACAAATTCAAGATATTGACCCTGTTCGATGCCCAATTCCCGACAAGATCACGCCCGTAAACTCTTCCTTTGGGTGTGAATCCCTGGCACTCACACCTTGTGGTATCCCAAGTCCGACCGAGTGCCTCTTAGAGGTCGCCAAATGGATCGTAGTCGTCCGCCAACATCGCCTTCTGCACAACCCTCCTTCTGACGCCCTGGTTGCCGCCGTCAAAGACGGGCAACACGGCCGCCTCTTGCACAAGCCTGGCAAATGCATACTCGTCCGACCAAGACGCTCTGCATTCTCATTAGCACTTCCATTGAAAGAGACGTCCACAGGACAAACTCACATCCCAATGACCCTCATCGCCTCCGCAACGCCCTCAACCGCCACCTCGGACCCGTAGATCTTCGCCTGCGAGCACAGCTCCACCGCGTCCTTTTCGCCATTATCCACCGCGTGCGCAGCTTTCCAACTAATCAGCCGCGCCGTGTCAATCTTCGTCTTCAGCGAGACCAACAGGTCCGCCGCAGACTGCCTCTCGAGTACCTTGACGCTCCCGCCCTGATCGTTCTCCTTGGCAAAGCGCAACGCGGACCGGAACGCCGTGCGCATGATGCCGGCGCCCATGGCTCCGACCATCGCCCCCGTCGCCGCGAACGCCATCTCGACAATCCGCACCGCTTCAGCGCCCTTCGCGACCACGTACTTCTCCGGCACGCGCAGGTCAGTGAAGGCGACGTGCGGGCCGCAGTGCGCCGTAAACCCCGGTGTCTCGATGTACTTCACCACCCGGAACGCACCCTCGTCGTTCTCGTCTAATACGGCGCGCGGGATCGCAAGCAGCATCGCCGAACTCACCAGATCGCCGCTATCACCATCGCCGTCCCGGCAGAAAACAGTCTGCACATCCGCCCCGCGCCCATCTCACCCCGTGCAATTCCCCGCCCAGATCTTCTCGCCATTGACAACCCACCCATCACCCCGGCGCCGCGCCACCGTCTGCGCGCCCCTACCTCCCTTCTCGAAGAAGTTCGCCGTGCCGCCGGGCTCAGACCACTGAAACGCTGCCAACGGGGCCCCCTCGGCCGCCAGGAACGGCGCCACGAGCTCCTTTTTCAGGGACTCATCGGCGGACGAGAAGATCAGCGGCATGAGCCCCAAACTGTCCGTCAGGAGATTGAGTGCGATGCCGGGCTCCACGGCGAAGAGCTCCTCCGTGACGAGCGCCGACTCAAGGAGCGTGCCGCCCGTGCCGCCGAGGTGCGGGGGCACGAGGGACTTGATCACGCCGGCGCGGACGGCGGTCTCGAAGAGGGGTTTGGTGGAGAGGAAGCGGGTGACGCCGTCGTTGGGGAGTTTGGTGTAGGAGGCGTAGGCGTTGTGGAGGAGTTGGGAGGCGAAGGCTGCCGCGTTGGTGCGGGCTGTGCGCTGTGAGTCGGAAAGGGTGAAGTCGATCATTGTGTGTTGGGTTGGCGATGGTTGTCGCGATTCAATTGAGGAAAATGGCTGGAGGTGAGCTGTGCTAGGTTATGTAGGTGGACTGCGATCTTGGGCTGACCACCATCGCTAACCTCCTGGCCGATCGCATTGCTGTATAGCTTTGGATCAACCATGGGGTTGTCTGCCAGTCAGCGTTGATTTCTCACTGTCGTGAATCCTGCGATGGTGCGTGTTTCCTCGAAGGAGGCATTCGTACCGTTAAGCTGTCATCCCAAAAGCCATTTCTCGAACTTGGCAATGTGCTGTCTTTCGATGATCTAGGTACTTTGCATGAAGGTGGTCAGCAAACGGGAGCTGCGACCCAATTGGAGGAGCAGAGATTCTGCTTGTCGACCAAAGACCCTCACTAGGACATGCAGAGACTCCATAGTTGAGCTGACGGCATTGCCTCTTGGCCTTCAGAAAAAGAATACGTCTGACTTGAATCGATGGAAACCTGTCCTAGTTCCCCGCATCGAAGGAGTTAGACTGGAGTGCTTGTAATTGTGGCTTTCATCAAACACAGCTGTCCGCGGAGCCACTTTGCAGCTTACAACTTTGTTTTCTGGGCTACTCCAGCAAGACCTGGGGAGATTCAGAAACGCGGGGCTGGGGTAGTCTTCCGTGTGTCCCGGCCCCAGCGGATTCGACCGGCACTGTGCCGAAACGGGCAAGTGGAGATGATGTTGTGCGAGTGCGATGATCATGCTGGAGGTACTGACAAATGCTTGGGGTAGGGTGTACCAGAACACAGCGCGATATGGATAGATTTCTCGGCAGATTACCCCGTGGCAATTTTGCATGTTCGGCGGTGTTCTCGTGCCGCGGCCCGGGACCGGCCCCACCTCCGCCCCGTTAATCCGGAGATGGAGGGCGGTATTGTAAGAACGCCGGGCACGATACATCTACTCTAAAAAAGCCATTTCCAATATGCACCGAGCCAGGAATTGGTTTAAGGGGGCCTTTCACAGTATTGAAGAGCCAGGCGACTTGTTTTATGCTTCTTTAGCTACGTTCCAACTGCCTCCTCGGCAGACGGTCATTCCATCTCCATCCACGCGCTTGTAAACCCGTAAATCCGTAAAACCACCATCACATCGAAATGTTTAAGAAGCCGATCCCAAGCAGCCACAGGCCAAACCTTGTGTGTCGCATCTCACATCGGAGGCTACTTTTTGATCCCGAAGCTATGGCCACACATATGACAGCTCCCAAGCTGTGGATGAGATGAGGAAGCTCTGATACACACGGTGTCCTCGCCCGGGAACAATGGCCGGCAATTCCACTCGCGCAAACTTACAAACATCTCCTGACGCTGTTTGTCACAGCCGATGGGAGAGCTTGCAGCTGCCGCAAATTCAAACAAATAATACCTTCCTCGGCGTGTTCGGGAACCCGGGCAACGACGCGACTTCCTCGACCAAATGTCCGTCCCCGACGCCACGCTCCCATCAGCCCCCCAGCGGTCTGAGTTTCTCGGCACGGCGCCATCTGAAGTTACCCGGCCACAGCAACCACCACCACAAACGCCACTTGATCCATGAAAAGAAAAACAAGGGGTCTTGGGTTGGTTCCCGCGGCGCCGGACTCTTCTAGTGCCACTGCGCAAGTACCGAGCGCTGCGTGACGTCCGATGGACTGTGGTGGGGTAGTGCGGGGGAATTAAACTGGCTGATGTCCTCCCACCCCTTTCCCTCCACATGCCCCCCGTTCTCCAACGGCATTTGCGACGCAGTGTAGAAGGACGGATGATATAAGAAGACCCTGAAGCTTTCGAAGACTTCTAGTGTTCATTGACCCGGTCGCGATTTCCGCCTCTTAACCGTAACCTATCCTTCCTTCATCACCACATCGCATAACACGAAGACGAGAAGTACACAACCCGCCCACCATGTCCCGCAAGATCCAACTCGTGCGCATCGCCCACGTCTACTACAAGCACAAAAACATCGACGCCGCGCGCGCCTTCTACGACGACTTCGGCTTCTACGAGACGGCGCGCGTCGGCAAGCGCACGTACTACCGCGGCTACGGCACCGAGCCGCTGGTGCTCTGCGCGGAGGAGGCGGATGAGGACGAGTTCGGGGGTCCGGCGTTCGTCGTCGAGTCGCTCGACGACCTCGAGCACGCCGCCAAGACGCTGCCCGGCGCGAGCGAGATCTACGAGCTGGGCGAGGTGCAGGGCGGCGGCAAGTGCGTAACGTTCAAGGACCCCGTGGACGGGTGGCCTTTCCATTTGGTGTATGGGCAGACTGCGGTGGAGAGGAGGGATCCTGGGTTTCCGAATTTGAAGTTCAACTTTGTGAGTTTTTTGAGTGATACCTTAATGTGGGAGAGAACGGGGAATGAGAGGGGGAAAGTGTTTGCTAACGCGGTTGGGGTTGGTAGCCGACGGAGAAGCATCGCGAGGTCAACCACAAGCAGCGCTTCACGAAGCGGCCCGCGCCGGTGCACAAGCTGGGCCATTTTGGCGTGTGCCTGACCAACTTTGACAAGGCGTACGAGTTCTACACGAGCAACTTCAACTTCTACCCCAGCGAGGTAAGAAACCATCTTCATCTTTGCTTCAGACTTCTGAAGACCGACGAGGAAAAGGCGGGCCGTGAACACCCAGACTGACTGAATCTGTGGCAGCTCGTACACGCGCCCGACAACAAGGACAAGAAGGTCACCGTCTTCTTCCGCCTCGGCCGCGGCAAGGAGTACGTCGACCACCACTGCTTCTTCTTCTTCGAGGGTCCCAAGTTCCACGTGCACCACTCGTCGTTCGAGACGCACGACTTTGACGCGCAGGTGCTGGGCCACGACTGGCTGCGGCACCAGGGGTACAAGAACTGCTGGGGCGTGGGGAGGCACATCATGGGCAGCCAGATCTTTGACTACTGGTGAGTTTGTGTTGGACAGAGCAGAGGCTGAGAAAGTTGGGACTGATGAGAGAGACAGGTTTGACCCATCCGGCTTCATCATGGAGCACTACGTCGACGGCGACTTGCTCGACGACACGGAGGAGACGCATCATAACCCGGCATCACCGGATAACCTGCACGTCTGGGGTAAGTGTGTGTTGTTGATAGTATGGGAGTTGTTACTGACCTTTTGCCAGGACCGGAGGTGCCGTCTGACTTTTTGCAATGAGTTACTTGCATGATGTTAGATTCTGGATTTGGTGTTAGCAAGTGTGTGGGATGGGCAATCTGCTAAGAAGATGAAAGCAAATGCGTAGCTGACGAGAAAGATGAATAGCCATAGTGAATAATTGCAACACGTGCACATGGCCAACCTGATGTTGCAACCCGAATTAATTCACATGTTGAAGATGGCCCGGTCCTTGTCCTTGCCTGTCCTTCCAAATTCGTGCAGTGACATCGCCCAACTCGGAGCAAGGCGCATGCTCCCCTTACCTCCGAGCCGAGGACAACATTTAGAGACGTTCCATCTGTTTTCCCGAAAAAGAAGGCGCTGAACGATGAACCATAGACTGCTGCTTCGAATTGACGATTATTTTTGCTCTGAGCTGTGTGGTTATCCCCGGCACCCTGCGGTGTTGGCGTCCTCCTCGACATATCCCACCCAATACTACGCGGTGACTATCACCAGCTGGGCGAATCAGCTCTCCAATTGACGTCACTGAAAGTGGCACATGAGACGGGCCTCAGTATGGCTGGTGTGGCTTTGCCCTTTTGCCATCTGCCATTAAAGGAAGAAGCACAGGCCAGGAGTCGGGCTGGGAGGCCTTCAATTCGGGGATGCCGCGGTTTCAAGAGTTGACGATTGCTGGTCGCGAGCTGTGCAGAGCGGAGACTCGGGCTCAGCTTTTGTCTAAGTCGGATCACGGCAGCTGTTGTTGAATCATGTGCGAAGTCGAGAAAAGAATAATCAATGATTCTATCTGTAATCAATGTCAAGATAAAGTGCGCGACTTAATGAACGGCAAAGATACCCGAACAGAAAAACAGCTTACTTGCCTGTCTAGCTGTCAGCTCATCAATCGCAATTAATATCCAAGATCGAGAAACCTTGTTACTTGCTGACCACGCAGCACGCTAGACTTTGCCATATTTTCCCCATATCTTTCACGAGTCAATCACGATGCAGAATACAACCGCATGTTCAGAAACGGCCAACCCCCAAGAAACTATTAAACCCGCTGGCTACCGTTGGCATGAAGAGTCCCGCCATCATCCCTGCGCGCAGCGAACGGGAAGCGGCCCTGACCCCGGTCCCTCCCGTCCACGGTCGCATCCTCCATCGGCACTGCCTCCCCCTTGCGGCATCGGTGGCCGTTGATTTAATATCGACATGTTGAAATATCGAGAAGGTCATCTCCAACGACTCCAACAGGCCAAGACCCACGTGAGCAGAGCTCCGGCGAATGGCGTGCTTCCCCCGGGGTGTCAAACAGGAAGCTCGTAGTGTAGCTCTCAGCTGTGTCCAGTTATTAGTTCGGTTCGTTCGGTCGCGCTTTGGGGTTGGGCTTTTTGAGGGGGCGGACAAGGTTTCGTGGATTCAGGGGCGCCGCCGCGAACGCATCCTTCATTGGGTGCCGCTTCTGCATCCCGCATATTGCCCAAGCCAATGCAGAATACGCTAATCTTCTCTTTGCGTATACAGCATACGGGGCCAAGCTCAATGATCGCCGTATTCCCTTCTACCGCTTGCAGATGCGTCATGCACCTGGGCGGTTGGGCACTTGACAGATGATTGACAAGGGCGGATGAGGAGGGATCACCGGTGGGCGTAGCTGTGGGCGAATGGCACGTGTCAGGCGTGGTTCGTGGAGAAGCTTCTTCTACCAAGGATCTTAATCAACCGGGGTGCCGGCCTCCATGGCCGTTCCAACTTGCCGTAGTCCGTTTACTTAAACTCGGCCGATCGCCGGCGACGTTTTGTCTCTTGTTTCTACTCACGCCTCCAAGCCAAACGCCCTCGGCCTCTCACACACTCTCTCAAACCCCTCCCTCCCCCCGAGCCGCCACTCTGCCCGCCTCATCATCCCCGTCATCACGATGCGCGCCGCCACCACCTTCGCGCTGCTTGCGCAGGCCCTCGCTGTCCAGAGCATCCGCATCGTCCAGTCCAACGATGACGGCTGGGCTGAGCTGTACGCTCGCTCCTTCAACCAGGCCCTGAAGTCCTCCGGCCACAATGTTCTCCTCTCCGCCCCGGCCGAGAACAAGTCCGGCTCCGGTACGCCCTCCTCCGTGACCCTCACATGAACCCCCCCAACTAACCCCAACCCCAGGCTCAAGCGACGCCGAGCCCGACCCGCGCACCGCCGCCTGCCAGTACGACAGCTGCCCCGCCAACAGCGGCCCCGTCGGCGTCAACGAGACGCAGACCGACCTGCGCTGGGTCAACTCCTTCCCCGTGACCTCGATGCGCTACGGCATTGACCAGTTCGCCGGCGAGGTCTTCAACGGCGCGGCCCCCGAGCTCGCCGTCTCGGGTCCCAACGTCGGCTCCAACCTGTGGCTGTCCGTGCTCGTCTCCGGCACCGTCGGCACCGCCGTGTTCGCCTCCAACGAGCGCAACATCCCCGCCATCGCCTTCTCCGGCGCCTCCACCGGCACCCTCGCCTGGAACACCTCCCCCGTGCCGGCCCGCAGCGCCGTCTACGGCGAGCTCGCGAAGCGCCTCGTCGACAAGATCGTCAGCGGCGGCGCGCCGTACCTCCCCGAGAAGGTCTGGCTGAATGTCAACTTCCCCGCTGTTACCGATACTTCGTGCAACAACGCGGACGACTTCAAGTGGGTGCTGAGCCGCATCAACCCCGTTACTCTGAACCCGGATGTCGGTACCTGTGGTAGCAGTGATAGGTTGCCGTGGGAGAACACGGTTGTGGGCACCGCAGGATGCTACATCTCCATCAGTGTTGGTGACTCGGACAAGTCTACTGCGCCTAAGGAGAAGCAGCAGCCTGTTCTGGACAGACTTGGAAGCTTCCTGTCATGCCTGCCGTAGGGTGTGAACGAGAGGGACGATGGTGAACATGAGATGTAATGTGAGAGTAATTTATGAGATATGAAATCAAATACATGAGAGCACCTTTAAATGGCCAGAGGATGCCTAATTGCAATCCTCCTTTTGTGACATCGCAATGCGTTTGCCAAATCCAATATCCCGAAACCCCTCATTACTCTTTGCATGGCATCTTTTCCTCGACGGTAGGAACCTTGTCCGACTCTGCCTCAACAGCTTGAATAGTTCGAAGCTGTCTCTGCCACTCTCTTGACCGCCACGCAGGGACTCTCTCCTCAAACAGCTTATCAATCTGTTAAAGTCAGTAACAAGACCAATGAGCCAGGCCTGAAGATATGGGCCTTACCTCCGACCTTGAAAGCCCCGCAAGCTCCGGAACGCAGGTGTAGGCCCACACAAGGGACAGCACGGTCATACCGAACCAGATGTAGGAGACCTTGACCCCCAGGTTTCCAGCAGTCTCGTCAACCATGTACGGCGTGACGAAGCCAACGAGCCATGTGATGATCCAGTATGCCGTCAGAACGATGGACGATTGGTAGTTTCTCGCGCGGTCTGAAAATGGCTCTGCCATTAGTAGCCAACCTACACATACTGTCAGCCGCTTTGAAATAGCACAGTGAGTGGTGCGGGTCTACTAACCCCCGATCCCCCAAGTCGGCGCATAAGATGCGATGAAGAACACCGCGCCAACAGCCAGCATCGTCTTATCCGCCTTGCTGTCCGGGGCAGCGCTGTGAATGATGGCGGTCAGTAGTTGGGCGAGACCCATGAGAATACCGCCCCCGATCAGGGATCTTCGTCTTCCCAGACGCTCGATGAGATACATGGACGGCGCCGTGAAAACGCAGTTGGTAATGGCGAGAATGAGTGATATCAAATACGAATTATCAACGCCTGCGGCCGCAAAGAAGGTCGTTCCGTAGCCAAACCAGAAGGTGATGCCGGTCGATATCGTGAAGAAAGACATGGCCACGCCGATGAGGGTGCGTCTCAGGTCCGTATCTTGGAAGCACTCAGCAAATCGCGCGCTTCCGTTGACGTGCTGATCTGCGACGTGAGTTTCAATATCAAGTATAGCCTCGTCGACTTCCGGTGAGTTCGTGTCTGCGTTGCGAAGGATGGCGAGGGCGCGCCGCGCTTCGGCGATCTTGTTCTTCCTGGCTAGGAGTAGCGGTGACTCGGGACAAAACATCACGCCGACGAACACGGTCAACGCCAAGACCAGCTGGAACGCGATCGTGATGCCTGTTTTCGCATCAGAGGCTGTGTATTGCTTCGGGCTCGGGATGACTCACGCCAGCTTCGAGAGTCGGCATACTTTGAGGTACCAAGGCTGATCGCGCAGGCCAGGACGTTTCCTGTGGTGAGGAACTGCGAGTAGCGCGCCATCAGCTGGCCTCTATTTATCGGAGTCGAGCATTCCATAAGGTAGGCCGGGACCTGATGCACGTCGTTCAGTGGCTCAATATAAACATGGAAGGGTGAAGGGGCCAGACCGTAACGGAGATGAGACCGAGGGCGACACCAAGCAATACGCGGCCCACGATGAATACCGCCGGAGCAAGCCCTGCAGTCTGAAGAGCCACGCCAACGGCGTAAGTGCAAGATGCCGCGTACAAGTTGCCTCTACGACCGACTGCATACATCAGCAACCTCCTGGCAACATGCACTGCCGACGAAACGGAGTTGATGAGCACTTACTCCTACTTGTGAGCAGCGGAACAAGTTGACAGCCCACAAGAGCTCCGACGACAAACAACGTAGAGAAAGTGCTGCGGGTGTAAGGCGTCAAGTACATGGCTCCTGTATTGCCGTCTCTGATGCCGTAGATTTTGGTGGAGTCTTGGGAGCCGAGCACGCCATTGAGGTATCCGGAATCATAGCCGATGATGGTTGCTGACACGTTGAGCTCAGAAATGTTGATGTCAATAAGGGGACTGGAGCTTACCGGATGAGAAAACGATCCCATACACGAGGCTCTGTCTAGCGGACAACATTTTGCACAAAACAGAGACAAGTCTGAGAATCTCTAAAGGTCGTGTATTCGTATGATGCTGTTGCACCTAGTGCAGGCAGCATGCTTTAGTAAATTCCAGGCATTGGTGTCTTATCTGAGTTCAAGTCTCTGAATGGCCTGTGGCTTTGAGAGCCGTTTTTGGTCAGAGTATGGATTGGGTAAAGTCAGGTTTGGGTGTTGTCCAGAGATAGGAATTTGTATTCCGCTTCGAGGCGACGTACGAGTATTGCCGCTTATCTCTTCGGCGCAGGGATGTGGGCTGTCCAGGATTCAAGACCCCCAGCCCAGCATGTCAAACCCCGGGTTTGCAATAGCGATAGCATATATCTTTCGAAGTTGGATTCTATTACTTCAACAATTCGCGCGGTCTTGTTTATTGATAAGTTTTGCTATCTGAGCGGATATCCCCACTAGTTATCGAGGCCGGTAATAGGCATAGCCAATAACAGGAACAACAATGACGAAAACGACAACACCAACGAAAAGGACAAGGAAAACGGAAGCAAAGACGACGAGGACAACTACGGCGAGGATAACGACGACGACGACGACGACGATGGGGATAAGGAGAGGGAGAGGAATACGGACGAAGGGGGGGTAATAATATCATTGACATGCGCAGAAATCATAGACCTGATGTAACATAGGCAGTTCTCCGCTTGGTTAGCTGGAAGTATTTGCCTGAACAGCAAGATTCTTATTGATAGCTTGCCAAGGCCGGGTTGCTCATGTAACAGCTTCCCGCAGCTACAGGTTTATTGGTTCTCGGTGCGGTCTTGCCAGCATGAAGCAAGAACACCTTGGTGGTACGGAGAACCAATCGCCTCGTATAGATTGTTAAAGAGGTTTCGAGACGAAATGATTAATGGCCTGACCAATGCCCCGAATCACTTATCACATGTTCTCAAATCCTCGATTGGCTGAAGAAAGCCAAGGGGCTCGCCTAGACGCACGAGTGGGGTGACAGCGGGAGGTGCATGCCTAGCCCGCAGGTCTTCCCGGCTCACAGAGGCGATCTCAGGAGCGGGAGGATCACCACATAGCTCTGCTCGAGCACTGTTCTTTGGCAGGGAGATGATCATCGACAACATGGATCGACATAGCCCCTCTCATGATCTCGCAAGCTCTCGTCTCACACTTGAGGTTCCCGAGCTTTGTACACTTGCTTCGCGTTGCATGAGCGTTGTCTACATGCTCGTAGAGACGTTTGGACAATATACATGTATCGACTCTTTCACAGATCGTAAGTAATAGGGGATGGATTGGCCAGATGACATCTGCCGCGGTCTTCAGTTGGTATATCGACGACTTCCGAAGCGATGGGAGCACATGGAGACCAGATTATTCGATCGACTCCCTCCTTGCCTCTCCAGCTTATGGCTGACTGCGCCGAGCCGCTGCATGCTGAGCGCGCTGACGACGATCTCGGGAGCACTTATCCGCAGCCTCCAACGTCGTTGTTACACTGCGTCGAAATTCACATCCGTTCAATCTTTGGCTTTCATTTTTACCCCTCACACGACCGTCTGATTTACTTGGCGAGCAACACAACACGTATAAAAGTGGCAAAGAATTACAGCCCTGCCGAGCCCATTCTCTATGCTGCTGACAGAGACACTCGAGTGATCAGCTATCGCCTGTACTGTTTCTTGGCGTCCTGTTCGCTCCTATCGAAATCGTTGTGCTCTGGAATTCAGAGGCAAGTAGAAGCAGAGATACATAGACAAGGATGCTCGAAGAGTTTGACTTTATCATTTGCGGGTAAGATGCCTCTACCGTCCGCCGGCGCGGGGCCATGGGCGCAGCTGCAGAACGGATGGCGCTGACTTGAAGTCACAGAGGCGGCACCGCCGGCCCTGTCGTCGCCGCTCGTCTGGCGGAAGACCCGAGCATCAAAGTCCTCCTGCTTGAGGCAGGCAAGGATAGTAAAGACATGGATAACATGCACATGCCCGCCGCGTATGTACTCGAGCCATCATCTCTTAAAGACGATCACTGACCACGTCTACGTCGTCACCCAGCTGGACTACCCTCCACAAAGGCGATACGGATTGGAATCTCAGGACGCCCGCTCAATCAGGCCTTGAAGGCAGAGAGATCCATTTACCCCGCGGGAAATTCTTGGGCGGTAGTAGCGGCTGCAATGGGACAATTTGTGTGAGAGGCGTCGAGCAAGACTACGATGACTGGAACTTTCCGCAATGGAGCGGCAAGGGGATGTTCAGAGCGATGAAAAAGGCATGTTTCTTGAAATCCCTTTCTATCAGTTTCTTCTCACTCCATCGTCAATAAACAACGACCTGACGCTCAAGGCTATCTCGAAACAGGCAGAAACATTCCATCCTAAGGATTGGTTCCCTCACGACGAAAAGGCACATGGATGGGACGGGCCCCTACACATTGAGCCTGGAAAGACGAATCCATTCACTGATAAAGTCATTGAATCCTACAAGTCCTTTGGGTTGCCGTACATACCCGACATGTTCAGCTCTGGCGTGGCGGCTAACGGTTGTGGCCATGCCGTGAGGACCCAATACAAGGGAACCCGATCGACCGCGGCGGATTTCATCACCAAGGACCAAGAGAAACCAAACATTACCATCAGGCTTCACGCAACTGTCGACAAGGTAGCAGTTGAAGATGGCGAGGCAAAGTACGTAGAGTACGTCGGAGACGGCGGCCAAAGACACAGCGCCAAAGCGAAGAAGGAAATTGTCCTGTCTGCCGGCACCTACGGGACCCCAACCATCCTCTTACGCTCTGGTATTGGGCCCAAATCGCATCTTACCGAGATGGGAGTTCCCGTCGTCAAGGACCTGCCGGGCGTCGGAGAAAATCTGCAGGACCATCAGCTCATCTTTGTCTACTATGAACTAAACGAGCCCGATCTCACTGACGACGCAAGGGTCAGCCACGATCTAAATGCCTTCGAGAATGGGTACAAGGAGTGGACCGATACGAGGGATGGCTGGCTGGCCAGCTTTCCCTTCGGCGGGTTCGCCTTCGCCCGCCTCAATGACCGTCTCGAGGCGGACAGCGAGGAGTGGCGCAACTTTCCGCGGCAGCCAGGCCGTGACCCCATGGACCTGACCGAGACCCAGCCTAACCTTGAGTTCTTCCACACCATCTGCTACGGCGGCCCTCCCGAGTACACGGACTTTCCCAAGGCCGGCGAGTGGGCTTTCGCTATGTGTTGCTTCCTGTGCGGTCTCAAAGGACGCGGCGAGGTCCGATTGCGGAGCAGGGACCCCGGTGATAACCCCTATGTTAACCCCAGATACCTCGAAGACAGGCGAGACCTGCTAATGATGGCCGAGGGCGTCAAATTTCTTAACGAGATCATCATGAATGGGGCCGGCACCAAGGACATCGTCAAAGGCGGCTGGCCAGCGGGCACCGAGCACCATCTCAACAAGACCAACGAGGACTGGCAGTCGCACGTGCAGAAGTATGCCTCGACGTCGTACCATCCGGGCGGCACCTGCAAGCTAGGCCAGGTAGATGACCCTATGGCTGTATTGGACGGAGACGCACAAGTCTACGGTGTCAGGAACCTGCGTGTCGCCGACTGTAGCCTCATGCCGACGCTTAACAGCGGCCACACGCAGATGCCGGCGTACGGGATCGGGGAGCTTGTTGCCGAGTTCATTCAGAAGAAACATGGACTTAAAAGCAGGTCGAAGCAGGATGTTTGATTGGTTCTGGAATTCAGAAGCGGCGAGCAGCACTGGGCTTCGTGGATGGACTCGTATCTTATGCGAGCAACCTGGTGGATAAGGGGTTGGCTGTGTATTGCTAGATTGGTAAGGTCAAAGGTGGTGGAAATAAGCTATGGCCGATTTCTACCCCAGATGTGAAAGGCTCGCATAGTAGGCCGAAACATCAGAATTGATCCTCACGCTTTTGAACAGTGAGAAAGACAGACAATCGTGTCGTTGCCATGTCGCATTCCACAACATAACATGCTTTATACGGCCACTACTCATACAGTATACTTCAAAAGAGAAGTCCCTGTAGCCCAAAACTTTCTCTGTCCTTTTCGAAGCATATATCCGTGCATTGTCTTTTACCGAAAGGTTTGACGGCAATAATGTCGGAGGACAGTCTACATCGGATGTTAAGTAGATACTCAGCGGATGTCTTAGGAAGGCTTACAGTAGGTTGTGACTAATTCTTCTTAGCAACATCCGTTGCGGGAGCAGCGGTCAATGATTTCGCAACGGTATTCTGGGTTGTTGTGGCAGTTATCACAGCCAGTAAATTGGCGATCGACGAGTTTGTTCTCATTGATTCCGACCGCGGCTGCCATTGCGCTGGCTGCGGCAACAAGAAGCATAAAAAGTCTCATTTTGGTTGAAATTTGAATGATTCATACGTATTGCAATAATCTTTCAATGACTGATGATGGGTAACGAAACTCGCAATGAATCTCGCGAATGAGGCTGTCTATTCATACTTGATCTCATAATCGACAGCGCGGACTTTCAGCCATTTCAACGAGGGGCACTACCTTGTTACCATGAGCCAAGACCTTAGTTGATATTCCCAAAGTTTGTGTTATGAGCCGGAGAGAGAAATGAGTTTAAACTTGCCTATTCTATGTTGAACAGGAAGTTTTGTAACTGATATGGTGGAGCACATGGAGAACACGATGCTCAGCATCATCTTATCAGATCATCTTTCTCTTGGCACGGATCGTCTAGGTTTGTGGACGGAAACTTTCTCCCGAGTCATTCTCCATCCAGGGCACTTTTTCTCACAGGGCGCAAATATTTGATGGAAGTTTTCCCAAACAATCACCTGCAGATCCCGTCGCATTTGCCATATATCCTTCCCGCGGTGTACAAGAAGTCGGGCTGCATAGGGAAAGAAACTCAGCAAGCAATCCAATACCATATCAATCTCCCGACTACTTTTCTTCCTTTCTCCATGTATACCCCTCAATTCAGTTTGAATTCCTTGTGCAGATTTCCAAAAGTAGCCATACTAAACCCCTTCACCCATAATTGTCCGGATATCCTGTAACACACTTGGCTCACAAGATCTCATCTATGCCGTCAAATGTTTCTGCACAAGCAGGCATCTTAGCCAATTGACCCAAGTCTCCTTATGCTTCTTAATGTCTCTGCGGCCCTTGATGTTGTCGCCTATGCACCATCCTCGCGTCTCTGCAGTCTCTACCGCTCCGAGAAAAGAATGCAGTAGCGTACGCAAAGTCCTCACGACTCTGACTTGAATAAACCAAACTGGCAGATTTCGGTGTACCACCTGATTGTCAACATCTCATCTTCACTTTCGTTGTTGCACTTCATCATCATTGTTGCATAGTAGCGAAAAGAAACTTGGCTTGGGTTGGCATTCCAACATCATCACCAGGTCTTGATACCGGATGTAATCCAAATTTGGAGAAGTCAGCACACCTATCTTCAACCTAGCTATGTATGCCCTCGAAATGTTGTTGATCTTTTCATATCTTCCCCTAAAGAATACTTCAATGTAAGCTTTCAATACCAGGCTCGCACTTTCAAGTTGCATTGCACCGGGAGACCTCACCGAAAGTAACCTTGATTTCGTCCGATAAGAGACTGCAATTGCCAGTCAAGCTTACGTCGCAGATTGACTCAGGAGTTGATGCTCGCCACAACATTGGCTAGCTGGAATATGTATTCCGCCTCGGGTTCGCTTTGAATCCGCTGATACTAGCTGATATCGCAAGACCCACTAGCAGCCATGTCATCGATAGAGGCCGGTATCTACAGCGTATAGCAGGATGACAAGTAACCGTCTATTCTCTTTTCATGGTCGAATGGAAGTTGAATTCCGTATTCTCGTAGATAAGAACAGAGCGATAATTATATTGCTTGAGTTTATGAAGTCGAGTGACGTAAACCGAATGCAGTAGCCGCGATGAGCGGATGATGGCAATCGACTCCATCGGAAGCTCGAGTGGAAAATATATTCCGTCTGAAGTCCCTAGCGTGGGCTTACATTTGTATACTTCTCTATTCAGCCCACCTCGAATGACTCTCGATTTCAAGCGCTCTTCAAGCGCTCTTGAAAATTCCAATTGACTCTATCACCCAAATACAATCCTCCGATTTCTCCGGACTAATTCTGCAAGAATGTCGCACCTGAATTTCTTCGCATATGAGGGGCAGGGCGTCGAGAAACAGCAAAAGTTCTCGTATAGCCAAGCAGTGCGAGTTGGTGACCGCATCGAGTGCGCAGGACAAGGTCGGTCTTCCGTGAAAACCTTACACTTTGTCGACTTCTCTGACTGGATACGGGATCGCAGGGGGCTGGGATCCGATAACTGGAGAGTTTGAAAAGGAGATCAACGCACAGATTGACCTTGCTTTCGAAAACGTGGAACGTTGCCTCAAGGATGCTGGCGGAAAAGGGTGGTCGCAGGTCTACCGAGTCAATTCGTACCATGTACCTATCAATAACGAGGCACTGGCTGCCATGGTACGAAACTTCCGGAAATGGATGCCAGATCACCAACCCCTTTGGACCTGCGTTGGTGTGCCAAGGCTGGGAGAAGACGATATGCGGGTGGAGATAGAAGTCGTGGCACACACTGGATAAGCTCAATGGCGTGAAACAATTCAGAGGCCCCTGCATCCGTATTCCATATCATAGTCTGCTAGGAGTCGCCTAAAATAGTTTTTTGATGACAATTTATTGCGCAAAATACATGTTATTATCAATCAAATCGTCAGATTGCCGCCACGTTTTGCAAGAACTCCGGGCCCACGCGATCGAGCTGTTGCATGGTTTCCAGGTGGACGCAGTGTTGACCACGGATGGCCCATGTTGTCAGATGGCAATCTAACGAGATCACTGAAGTTGCTTTCGAAAGATTATGTTGTCCACGGGTGTTGCTGTGTTGCGTCAGTAGTCGCAAAATCCTCTGGCCTTCGGAAAGGCAAACCACGTCAGAAGTTCATCATAGACATCATGATGATGATGACGATGCATAATTGTCAGTCAGGAAACAAGCCAGTCAATTGCACTCACATCTCTACAAAGGAATATCATTAGCTATGGTGCTTTTCATGGTTTGCTGATCACTCACGGTGCCTGCCGAGCTGTTATATCAGAATGCGAACAAGGGTCAGCTGACGTTGCGGATTCAGTGTCTGGATATTAGTTGCAAGTTCAATTCGTAACCTTTCGTAACGGCACTCGTGTACACGGCCATAGGAAGCTTGAGTGCAACGAGCTCCCGTGGGCACCGACTGGGAGGAATGGTAACTTTAGGGCATCATGCGGGGGCTTTTTCGTGGTGGAAAGCTGCTTGAGAGGTCAAGTCGTAGGTATTATTATTTGTGGTACTGCATGATGGCCCACGGTTGTTTATTGGCTTGAGATCAATGTAAAGCGCAGGTTTGAAGTTCATATATAGGAGACAGTCAATTTATGGAAAAAGAAATATAGAGTATATTTTCAAGACTTCAGGCATGTAACATTGACGGACCAGGCCCAGTATGGTACAGGTACACGCCGAAGTCGAATATCTTCAACCCGCTCTATATCGCTGCATAACTCCACGTTCTCAGGAATCGACGAAACTGTCAATCTGTTAGCTAACATGCTCCACATGTAAGATGGGAAAGAAAATGAGACGTACGGATACTCTTTATTTGCAGTTGTTACCGGTTCTGCAGAAGCCGCAGCAACGCTGACCATCGATTTTGCTAATGCAGCATTGGCGAGCAATCAGCTCGCCGGTCTCAGATAGCGGGTCCACGCCAAGAGGGCCGGCGGCGGCAACGGCAGCAAAGGCAGCGACGAGGAGGACCTTGAAGTTCATGGTGATGGTTTTCTGGTGGTGTTGGGTTTAAAGATAGTGATGTTTGTTGTTGTACAATGAGTGATTGAGATGGATGAGTAGCACAAAAGATCTTCGAGGCATGCAACGTACGCTCCTTATATATACCTGAGGCGCCTAGTTCAGTCTCGTAGAATCGTGGCTGTAAGTTCCAAACTGGGGTAAAGTCTCTACGCAAATGACCATCGCTGTCGCTAGAAGTCTCGATGTATCCTTGGTCTGTGTTTGAGTTAATTAGGGGGTATTTCGTCTTACTGGGCCTAAACGATCCCGTCGGGTTCTAGTCATTCAGCCGACGGGATGTACGGGGTTGCCGACTACGTCGTTCCCTAGAGCTTAGAGTCTGTAACAATCAAAAAATCGCCGTGCATGTCTGCGGAGCCCCGCAGGTGTCTCAGACCCCAGGCCACCTCTAAAGGCAGCGGTTTTATTGATAGAACCTGCGCCACTTAAGCTGTGTCTATGTTTTTGTTATTGGATGTTGATGTGTAGTTGCCGTCTGCTCTTTGAGTAGAGCTGTAAGGCTTCTCTTTTGCAGCCTGGTCGAGTGCAGAATGATGAGCTTCATTTTCATCGGGCTGATGAACGTGCTGCGGATGGGACATGAACTATGCGAGTGAAGTCTGTCAAACTCGCATTAGGATGGTTCATCTGACTTTCCGGTTACCGCCAACTCGGAAAGACGGCACTCGCAATATGACGATTGCGAGTCAAGAGATTGAAAGCGGGCTGATTCTGAGGCGGATGTTGTCGATCAGTCAGTGCCATGCTGGAGCCTCCCTGCAAACCTAAAAATGTCAGCGGACATAATCGGGATGCGCGGCATCCAGATGAACGCCCTTTACTCGCCGATTATTGAACATCTGGAGCTTTCTGTTGCGGCTTGATCCATAAAAGTGCGATTCTCGCTATTGGGAACCATTCACGGCCAGGCACAGTGCTGGTGAGAAGAAGCTGCCGCAATGGACTCCGAGACATACCGTGAAAAGGGCAGGTTGCTCACGTGGTCCGACGATGATTCCAATAGCGAGGACCACACGCGCGGGACAGGCCGACGATCTTGGGCGCCAATTACCATCATAGCACTTTCATGTTCAAACCTTTTCCTCGTCGCTTTATGCGCGTGCCTCGCACTGCGAGGGGTCGGTCAACCAACACCACACACCGGCCCGGACTCAGGGCCCTCGTGGCTTCCACCACAAAGTAAAGAATCTTCCTCTTATCCCTTTTGATGTTTCCCAGAAAGGAGAGGGAACAACACCAAGGGAATTTACTAACGCGAGATGTGATACAGTACCGATGAAAAAGACGCTCATTTCCGAACCTATATATGGAGGCCCGGTTACGAATGAGAGCGAGAAAGCTTGGGATGATTTGATGCCACGTATGTTCTCCAGAACCAGCAAGTTTCCAACGCCACGAGTTGACAAGTTATGCCAGTTGGCCGTGGGTTTGTCGTTATCAAAAACGAGACCGCGCTCCCGGAGGTGCCTAAGTTCAATGCGACCATGGGCGAGTATAAGGGAGTGATATCGGTCTTCCACCAGCTGCATTGCGTGGTAAGTAAACAACATTCCATATATCCTTAGGACTTGAATGGAAAGACCCGCGTTTCTTCAAAGATTATGAGAGATTGACAACTTCAACAGTGGGCAACTCGGGAGGCCTTCTTTAAGTTGCTGCGGGAGGGCAATTCGACCGAGATCGACCTCAGACACCTAAGTCACTGTTAGGACTTCGTCAGGCAAGCTATTCAATGTCGCGCTGACACCACTATAGAGTGGTAGGTATTAGAAGAGCTTAGGGGAAGTCTGGGATAGGGCTACTAATAGGCTTCAAGCTATCCATAGATATCTATAGGTATATACCTATATAGTCTATAAGTATAAAGGGGTACCTAAGTAAATACTAAATAAGTATAAGTAATAAGTAAAGTTTTCTTATTTAAGTATTAAGTATATAAATAAAATAAAAACTATAATTTAAGTTCTAAGTAATAATCTATTTTATAAATATAATATACTAAAAGAAATTTAGAGAGGAACTAAAGTTTAAATTAAAATATTAAAACTATATAAGAAATAAATTATATTATTATAGTATATTATTAATTTTTAATAATAAGAAATTATTATAATTTATTTCCTCTATAATTTTTTAACTATTTAATTATTTTCTTATTTTTTAATTACTTTTCTAACTTAATAATAATAAAGAGTTTTTATAAATTTATAAACTTTATTATAATATTTATAAACTAAATAATAATATCTAAGAAGTTTAATTTAGTTTATTTATAAAGTTTAAAACTTAACTAAATAGTTTAGTAAGTTTTATATCTAAAAACTCTAATTTTATTAAGTTTTAAATATTATTATTATTATTTAAAATATTAATAATATCTTAAGTATACTTAATAATAAGTTTATAAATAATAGAGTAAGTCTTCTTATTAGATGAAGTACTAACTAAAGTACTCTTACTAGATTTATCTACTGTGAACCCTCTTATAGGGTAGGCTATAAAACTTTCTTAATATAAATAATAGAGTAAGAATCCTTAATATTAAGAACTTTATATTAAAATATTTAATAAATTAATATATTTTAGTTTTTATTTAGTTTATAGAGTATAAAGTTTTCTAAAATAAAAAGTTCTAAATAAGAAAATAAAAACTAATCTTAATACTTATTATAAATTATAAGAAAGAGTTAAGGCTTCTAGCTATTCACTATGATTTTTTATCTACTTAGAGTAATAAACCTCTTAACTTTACGCCTCTTAATAATATATACAGCTTTTAGTTATATAATTCTTAACAACCTCTTAAGTTTCTAACTACCTCTTTTAACTTCAGCTGCACTTATATATATATATCACACTAGATAACTTCACTATCTTTAACTTTATTTTAGTAATAATATAGTTTATAATTACTTAATTACTGCAGACTATTGAACTATTAACTTATCCTCTCTCTTATATATTATTTATACTATTAATACTATCTCTATTACTGCTTTACTGTCTACTATTCTTCTTATTTGATTAGGCTAGCTAACACCTTTATAGCTATACTATTATTAGTAACGCTCTCTCTATTTAGTATAAAGTGCACTTACTAATATTTAAACCTTACTAGGCTTATATTAAGGCTTAAGCTATATCTACTTTAGTATTATAGAGGGTTTATATAAAGAAAGGCTACTCTTTAAGATAGCTAGAGATATATATAGCCTCTATATTAAAGCTATTAGGTTTTCTTATTACTATAATTACTTAATAAATAAGGTTCCCTAGAGGGGTATTATTAAGAGCTCTATTTAATATAACCTTAATAAAATACTTCTAATTAGAGATAGAATATATACTAAACCTAAGGGTTTTATTTAGTATATAGATATTATTCTATATAGTAATATCTCTAGCTATATTCTTAAAGAAAGGTATATTTTATATAAAGTTAGTATTTTTATATTCCTTATATAGTATAGATATTATAAAGGATTTATTATAAGTTATAAAGTGAGAAAGAGAAAAAAAGAAAAATATAAAGCCCTATATAGAGCTTTTTATACTTCTAGCTATAAAAACCTCTTATAATAACCTCTTTAGTTAAGGAGTTATCTCTATTTAATAGTATTTACTTTACTAAAAGGTTTAGTGAAGCTGTTACTAAGCTATAAGAGCTTTAGTAACCCTTTTAGCCTTAATATAATTAGCCCTACTATGTGTAGTACTGCTAGCTTCACGCTATATAACTAGCGCTATTACTATTCTGCTAGTCTATTTAGCTAAGGCGTATATTTAACTTTATATAATAATATTTAGAGGTTTACTTACTAATAGGAATATATAGGGTTTCTATACTATTTTCCTTAATTAGTAGAAGGTATAAGTTAAAGTGCCTATATAGTGTTTATAGAATTATACTTATGTATAGGGTGAATTTTACTGTAGTCTTTTTATAAGGGGGCTGCATTATAACTATAAACTTAATAAGAAAGAGTTAATAGAAAATTATTTTAGGTTTTATATTAAAATATATATAATAATAGATATATTAGCTAAAGCTAAACGCTTATTTAAAAAAAATCAAATTTAAAATAATATAAAAATAGTTATAAACTATATTATAAAAACTATAATATTTTAGTTCTTATTTTAATATTTTCTAGAAATCTTAGATTAATTACTTAATAGAATAGCTTTATATAGATTTAGTTATACTTCTAAAAAGAAAAGTAGTATAATATTTATACTTCTTAAAGAAATTATAAATAATATTATTTACTTTCTAAAATAAAATATTTATTTATTTCTAAAGAATAATATTAATATAATAATTATAAAGGGATTATTATATTAATTATTATAATAAAATATTATAATTATAACTATTATAATAATATTAGAAATATAATAATATACTTATTTCTTAAAACTTTAGAATATTAAAACTATTAAACTATAGATAGATCTATAAATTTTATTTAAATTAATCTTAGAATTCTATAAAACCTCTTTATAATATTTCTTAATATAAATTTAAATAAACTCTACTCTAGCTATATCTTTTAATAAACTAAAATAAACTTTATAAATACTATAAAATCTTAGATTATTATTTACTAAATTTAATATTAATATAAAAGAGAGGAATAAAGAGGATATATAAAGAAACTATTATTACTTTTATAGTAATTAGTACTTCTTTAGTTTTATTATTACTACTTATATTATTTCTAAAAAAACTAATATTTAAAATAAATTCTTATTATTATTAAACTTCTTAATAACTTTTAAGTATTTTATTAAATAATTATTATAGATTTTTATAAAAATAATTATATAAATAATATTAATAAATTAGTTTTAACTTAAAATATATATAATAATAAAGAAATATATAAAGATATTAAGAATAACCTAAATTTAATATTATTTAGGATCTTTTAGTTTAAATAAGTAATTATTAATATAATTTATAAATTAAGCTTAAATTAAAGCTTAAAATTTAAAAGTATAAACTAATATTAATATAATTAAGTTTTAATATATCTTTATATTAATAATTAGATATTTAAGATATTTTTTAAAGTTTTTATTTTTATTATTCTTCTAAAAATCTAAAAACTATATAGATTATATTATATTAACTTTAATTTTAAATATAAAATAGTAAATCTAAAAAAGGATAAATAATAATAAAAATAGAAAGTAAGAAATAAAGTAGCTTATTTTAATAATTATTATTATAAATATTAAAATATTTTTTATTTTAATTTAGTTTTCTAAGTTTAATATCTTATTTAGATATTAATTAATAGAAGTCTTATTATTTAATTAATCTTTAAAATTATTATTTTATAAAATAGAAGTAGTTTATTACTTTATTAAGGTTTATTATAGTAGTATAATATTTTTAATAACTTATTTATTATTAATATATAATATATATTATATAAAATTACTTATTATAAGTATATAAATAACTTTAAAGTAGTTATATAGTTCTTAAACTATAAAGCTAATAATATAAATAAAATATTAAATATAAATAACTATTAGTAATATTTTATTAAATATAAACTTATAAAACTTAGATAGAATCTTTAGTTTAAAATTAGAAGTATTATTTTTAGAAATATAATTAAATTTAAATATATTCTTTATTAAGAACTTCTAAAAAGTATTAATAATTATACTATTTATATTCTCTATAATATAGTTTTTTATAATATTAAATATATTAAGAAAAATATAATAATATTTCTAATTTTTATCTATAAAATAAGCTATAATACTAAGTAATATATATTTCTAACTTAATATTATCTATATATTAATTATTAAAGATATTTTTAAATTAAGAATAATCTTATTAAGAACTTTTATCTAAATAGCTAAAGCTTTAGTTTTAAGATTTTTAGCTATTATTATAGAAAATAGTAATATCTATTTTTAGTTTATAAAACTAATAAAAAACTTAAAAATTAACTTTAAAATAGAGTTAAAAAATATATTACTATTAATAAAATAATAAAGAAGTACTTTATTTAATTAAGTAGATTTATCTCTTTTTCTAATAAGCTAGATAGTAAGATATAGTTATTATAATAATTAATATAAATAACTTAAATAGTTCTTATAGTTTATAGATAAATTATCTCTCTATTATATTATAATCTAAAAGATATTAGAGTATTATATTATACCTTAATATATATTAGCTTATTATAATAGTTATTTATTAAGTTAATCCTAAAGCTAGCTATATTAAGATAAATAAAGAGAGTATTATATATATTATAAATAAAATAAAGAATATTATATTAAACTTTTACTTTTTATAAAAATTAGCCTAAATATTTACTTATTTATAACTTTTATTAAAAATCTTATTTACTTTCTTTAAGTATATATTAAAGCTAAATAAAAACTAAAAGCTCTTAATATTATTTTCTACTTTCTATTTATAATATTAAGTTTAATATTACTATTTAATAAAAATAGTATTTATAGTAAATAGAATAACTAAACTACTATAAATAAGTTTATATTTAGAGGGGAGGTTTATAGAGAAAAAAGAAGATATATTTTTAAAAGAGTTATTTATAATATATAAGTTTATAATATATTTTATTTATATAAATAAAGTAATAAAAAGAAAGAGAAACTAAATTATAAAGAATTATTATAATAAATTATTATAAATATAAAGTATTATAAT